GTCCTCTGAGATCAGTTTGTTATGTTTGTGTGTGTGTGTTTGTGCGTATGTGTGTTTTAAAACACTTTTTGAACTGTAAATCACTTAGTGCCTTACAATTTTTTCAACAGGTTCTTCTTCTTTTTTTCTTTAATAAAATTAATACTGCTATAGGCTGCGTTGGTAAAGATCATTTCATTTCATATATTGAAGCTACAACTTTGAAAACCCTAACCACTAGAAGAGAATGAATGAATGAATGAATGAATGAGTGAATGAACGTTGGGAGTGAAACCCTAACACAATGCTGGCTATAAATGTCGACCTTCTGTTTTTTAAAGGGTTATTTAAGGACCGTGTGTATTGTAAGATTAGACAAATTAGTAAAGCTGTGTTAGTTATGTGGCAAAAAGCAGCTGTACTGTAGATGAGACAAACAATAACATTATGCACAACTTTCTGAGTTACCCACATACCACATAACACACTGTCAAAATGCTATAGCTCAACTTAAGAAGATATAATAGCCTAAAAATGTAACTTGGATATTAGATTTGGGTGACAAAACACTTGCTAATTTCCATTCTTTCTGCTGATAATATCTCAGCTCTTATTGTCTAATCCACTTTTAGTAACCTGAAGATATTCATTAAAACATAGTTCTGGGATTTGCAGTCTTCTAGCAGTACATCCAACTACACTGCAGCTTTTCAGACATTTGTCATCATTTTACTAACAGACTGAATAAACAAAGACACACCTTCGCATAGAAATACTCAGTGTGAGACAGTAAAATAAAAATTTAAGACGCCTTACTTAACAACAACCTGAAATTTTAAGAGATAACACAATATTTTGAGTTAGAATTGGCTGAAATAAATATATAGTTTATAAAAAATAAACTATAAGAAATAAAGTTCTTGCAATGAATTCCCCCTTCCCCCAGTGAAGCTAATTTAATTTATTTGAAATGTCCTGAATTAAAGAAGTAGGACAGCAACTGACAGCATCAGGATGAATGTACTCAGTCCATGTCAAAGAAAACAAACTTGATACCTTTAATCAGTTTGTCAAATAACAGGGTGCTTTTCACTTTATGGCCCTTTAAACCTTTCGAACAAATGCAAACAAAGGATAAGTGCAGGTATGCACACGTGCACACATGCAGCCCATTTTCTTCCACTAAAACGACACAGTCCTACATGCATGCAAACACACATAGCTACACTCTAAAAAACATTTTTTAGTCTCTTTGAACAGCAACAACAAAGCAAAGGTGGGACCTGGTCAAAACAGAGTGGCCACCTGTCTTCACCTCCATCAGACTTTGACTTGCCTTAATTAGGGCAGTGAAGCCAAGCATAATCTCTGTCCTATGTCAGTAGATGAAACCACTTAGCAAATTAGCAGCCTTCTCTTTCTAGATTCACAACACACACGTGGACAGATGTGGATGCATAGTATAAACACATACTGTAAAAGCAAAAGTACAGGAATGTGCGAGTACATACACCTGCATGCACAAACAAGCACCATGGGTTATTAAAAGGTCTGGAGAAACTATAGCACCAGGAACATGTAGAGGCTGGATGAAGAAAAAAAGTAAGAGGAATGGAGTGAGAAAGAAGAGGAGAGCATGAGGGAGGTGAGAGAAGAAGGGAGGACGATGACATCGGGAGTGGAGGTGGAAGAACTGAGGTGAGAGGAATGGAGAGGAAACAAAGGCAAACAAAAAGTAATAAAAAAACTGGGACTGGGAGGCAGGTGAGAGGGACATGATGTGTTGTAGCGGAAAAAATGGCCACTGGTAACACCACAGTCCAGTCTGCTGAAGGGACCATGTGGGGGGAAGAAAGGAGAGGAATAAGATGGAGGGGGAATTGCTTATGGCACGCAACCCTCATGCAAGGGTCAACACCAGTACACATCAGCTTAAATGGACAGCTACATCCAAACAAGTCCTCATGCACCTTTTCTTTTTTACTAATATGGTATCCATGTATAGAAATTCACTCAATCCACTGAAAAACAGATGTCAATACTAATCAAATATTTATGCAAACAAACAAAAAAATGTATGTGCATTTATACATGTGTGCACTTGCTGCGTTCATCTCAGTGTCCAGGGAAGCACACCGGGGAATAAAGAACACATGAGGATCAAATTGATTAAAGCTGGAGTTCTTAGCAGTAATACTGAGGATTAGGACAGCTAATAAATGTTTCATTCAAAGCCAGACATAGATCAAACGTGAGAAAGGTCTCAGCTCACTCTCAGGGTTTGGTGTGACTCTGCTCCTTTCGCTCCTCTTCCTCCCACTTCTCATTCTCCTCTGCCTCCTTCAGCTGTTAGTTTTCAGCTGTATTATGACAGCCACTACAGATCATCTCACTAGCAACTACAGGCCCTGCCCTTGCGCCTACACATCATTAACCCTCCATCTGTCAGCTTCCTAACAGGTTCCCACTAATGTGGCCAAGGACTCATTTCATTCCATTCTTAGCCAACAGGCAGAAGAAATTAACTTTCAACTTTACTTTGTCCTGTTCAATCCAAACCTGCCTTTTTTCTCTGACTTTTACTCCTCTCTCATTTACCTTCTGATTCTGCTTCCTCTTTCATCTTTACATCATCCCCTTCCTCACATTACCTTTGCTTATCCTTTTCCATCTTTCTCTGCACTCCTCATCCACTTTTAACCTTTCTACTGAACAACTCTCACACCCTCCCCCGTTTTCGTTCACTATACCTGTTCTGTATCTGGTGAGATTTAGGGCTGGGGCCAATGGTCAGCCGGGGATTAACAAGATGGAGGATAGAGAATGTGTGAAAACCAGTTAAGTCACACACCACTCTGCCTGTGAGAGGCTACAATGCACAGAGAGAAGCGCAGATGACTTACATATATGTCCAAATCCAAGCAACCAGGCAGAAGCAGTTTCTGACATCACTCTCAGCCTGTGCACACTGTTTGGACCACTATTAAGTGCGAAGACACACAAAATCAATATAAAATTATTGCAAGTCTTGTTGCAGAATTGATCTAGAAAATCCAAAAATCAAAATGTACTGAAATTTGATACAAAAAATTAATTTTGTGTAGAATGCGCGGTAGGATGTAATGGTTCATGGTAGCGCTGGTGACACTGGTCTTGGCAAATGGGCTGTGTGGCTATGTGTGTAACTCTATCTGTGGAGGGGGAATACAGCAGTGGTTGGGTAATGGAAAGGTCATTTAGCCAATCCCCCAGGTAGGGGGGCTGGTCTGACACGGCTCGTTTGTCACAGTTCAATAACTACCACTCCGGAGAGTGTGAGGGAGACAGAGAAAACATGTGAGAGAAGGGTAGGAAGTGTGTGTGTGTGTGTGTGTGTGTGTGTGTGTGTGTGTGTGTGTGTGTGTGTGTGTGTGTGTGTGTGTGTGTGTGGGCTTGTGTTCAGCCCCTGGAAGCACAGCTGATTCCCAGGGCTTGTCCCTCCATTTGAGGCTTCAAACGGGGTCACAACGAAGGCCAAGCATGATGGACTCAGACATCATGATGTGAAAACTTGTGAGCCTTGGCCTGGAAGAATTATTTTCACTCTAACTGGTAAGTGTTTTGGCTTTCCAAGTGGGAAAACTGAATTATTATTCTCCTCTTGAACCCAGCAATGGCCACTCTACTGATAGCTAGCTTTAATCTAAAGCATTTGGTAAATAATCAGAATGAAAACCAAAACAGCATTTCCTGAATACAAATTTTCTGTGGTTGGGAACTGATGAAAAAAAAAGTTATTGTAAATACTGATGTAATTTCCTACTATTTTATGTCAATTTATTGGATGCTTTTTCGTTCGTTATCTATGTCAGCATTGGTATCTGATATTCCACCATTTCAAATCTGAAGGAGTACCAGAAATTACTTTGAGAAATGACAAACACTGATTAACTGTTACTCAGTGAGTTGATGGGATTTTAATGCAACCTATTTAAAAAAGAACACTAATTGGATAAATAAAAAAGAGTAATTATAGAACAAAATGCATATGCAATGCAAATAAAAAAACAATAAAATAAATAAAGCCCCATTATTCTGAGTTAGATGTATTGATTTGTACAGTCCCTTTAGCATGTTGTTCAGTGTGTGACAAAATGATTTTCCAGCTTTGTGAGAGAGTCAAAGATTTTCACACATCTCACTGAGCGACTGGTGAGAGACGCCACAGCCTGTCCTTCTTCTCACTTTGAAAATCAATATTAACCTTCTATGTGTTCATTCACGTGTCTCTGTGGCTTCCCTTAGAGATGCCCGAGGCACAGATTTGTATTCATCTCAACTGGGTCGAGAGATTTGGGATTTTATGTCAGACATCCCATACAGATTTAGGAACTGTTGATTCAGGTGGGTTTGATTCCCATAAAGTAGACTTCTTATATTTAGCCAGTATAATATTACAAGCCTTGATGTTTTACAAAGATTTTTGGCTCCCTCTTGTGGTAATCTCTGGAATGTACATGGCAACAATAGTTTCTGGAGCTCTAATGACAGAAGGTTAATATGCTGATGATGACATCTTATTAAAAATAATATTATCTAATTTTGCAGCACTTCATAATGTCATCTTGCAAAACAACATGGTAAATGATTTAAGGAAGAAAAGAGAGAATCAAAGTAGTCTAACATCACCTTAAAGCACATTTAATTGTATAATATTAATGTCTTAAAATACTGATAAAAAATGTCACTGCAACATAATTAAAATAAGACAATTATGATTTACCACTAATGCTACTTGCAGCAAGTAAACCATCAACTTTTGGTTACAGTATGTGACACTTAAACATATTGCTTGTCTCTGTGTAAGTGTTGATTACATCAGCAATGCAACACATCACACATAACACATAACAATGCATAACAATACAAAGACATACTGACACCTTTACCTAGCAAGGCACATGTAACTGCTGTGCTCTGACACAACTGTTAGACCAAACATAAAGTGAAAGAGTTGCCGTTTCACAAATGGGCTGAGCTGTCTGTGGTCAGTGACATCACGGGACAAAAGCTCTTCCTCATTCAAAGTGACTCACTGACGTTTCAGCCATACAAGGTTGTTGGTAAGCTTTTAAATTTGGAGAAATGTCCTGTAAGTGAGGTCGGCACTAAGAGTTGTGCTTAGTTCAAGGAAGTAAAAAATACAATGGCTCCTTTGATGTTTAAGGATGCTTTCTGGGTAAGTATATTTTTGTGGTATTGTTGTCTACTTGCTTTGTTATAGTTTCTAAACTATAGTATGTATTAATTATGTTGAACAGACTGTTTTAGGAACCCGAGAAACACCACGAGAAACACCACGTTACAGTCAGCTATCGCTTGTTAAAACATTATATATTTTACACCCTAACTGTCATCTGTAAGTTACAATTTGCCAAATCAGGTAAACCACAAGTGATTATAGTTTATACTAGTATAGACACACAGCAGTATGGGGTGGGAGTGGGGGTGGGGGGGTTAAGGTAAGCTTTACAACTTAAAAAAAATACTTAATATGCACAATTATCAACATCATACATGTAAAGACACTGTAACGTGTTGAATCACCACTGCGTGCACTTGAAGCGATCTAGAGGGTTGGTTTACCAAGTGTATTAACTCTAAGGCTGCCATGTCACATACAGATATCTTTGCAGTACACAAGTGCTAGTTCTGCATTTTACCACAAAATGAGCCTAGAACATGTTGCAACACCTTTTTCAGAAATGCTGTTTATTGCAGCAGTTTTCGTTTTTTGTGTTTCGTCAATGCAGGGGTCTGACATCACTTGCCACGCTGGGTATGAAGCCGTGACCCAAAGGTTACGAGATGGAAGGCAAATGTGCAAAGATGTGGAAGAGCTATTGAAGATGAGGTTGGATCAGCTTGTATTTGTGCAATCAAAATAAACTTAAAATCATGGGTTCTGGGATTTTAATCATAGCTGCGCTTCTCTTTCCATGATCTTTACTTTACATGACTTCATACATGGAATCAACTTCCAGCTTGATCATAACATTAAGAAAAAAATAGCTATCTAGTTGTCATTTCACTCATTAAACACCACATGTGGCTAGTCATGTATGAAAGATAGCAGGCCCATGACTCATTTAGGTCACAAGATATGAGAATTTAGCTATTTCTTCTTTTAATTCTGTGTCTTGAAATATGAAAATATTCTGCATTAACACTCATTTGTGATTGTTGAAATATATTAATTGATAATGACAAGTAATTCAAGATAAACCTTAAGATGTCACCAAAATCATCTTTGTGATGTTATGGCCTGAATAGAATGACGTAACATAAAGTCAGTGATCCTTTAGGTAAAAGAGCAACAAGAGTTTAAGTAGCAACAAAATTTCAGGTAAAAATGTTGGTATATGCATGTCAAGGCAAATGTTGGACTGTTATAACAGACTTTATATAAGCTAATTCAGTTTTACAAATAAATACTAAAATATACATTCTGGGTTCTAATGATTTGTCTGCTTATTTATACTCCACAGGGCACTGGCAGAGGAAAAGTATGGAAAGGAACTGGTGACTATTGCTCGCAAAGCTGGAGGACACATAGAGATAAGGTGAAAAACTTGTTTTGAGGTCAGCATTATGTATTGTATAGACTGCCCAACTAGTACATAAATATAGCAATTTGGACAAAAACTTTTATTTGGAAGGGTTTTGGTAAGGGATGGACATGTTAAGGGTGACTGGCACTGACCAGGAAGACTACATATAAAACTACAGTCAGGCACATCATCGCCACATTCTTTAAGAGGAAACACATTTGTGCGTGATACAGAAAGTGAGACACAGAAAAAAAGAGACTGAAGTGTAAGTATGTGTGTGCATGCATGTGTGTGTGTGTGTGTGTGTGTGTGTGTGTGTGTGTGTGTGTGTGTGTGTGTGTGTGGTAAGCCCCTCGCTCAGTGTACAGTAGGTCATAACTTGTCAGTTTCCTGTTCCCTGCTATCTCAGACATCTGTACTGAACTCAATATATTCTAAGAGCCGCAAAAAGGAAACAATGAGCCTCCAATAAAAGAATCATCTAAGTGCAGTAAAACCAAATAAATCTTTTTCTTTTTTCTTTTCTTTTCTTCTTTAAACAAAAAACAAAACAAAACTAGGGCACAAAGTCTGCCTGTTAAGGTTTGGGTGTCCTCACGGTCTTGGCAGCTGGTTAAACAATAAAACACAGTGCAGAGTTCTAGCAATAAAATTGTACTCAGCTGCTATTTTGCTTAAAATTTTGCTTTAAAAATGTTAATCTGCCTCTTTGTGAAAGAAACACAAAGTGCAAGCATGGTGAATAATTTTGATTATGAATGTGTGTTGTTTTTCCAGCACTTTGAGGGCATCATTCGAACAACTAAAAACTCGTAAGTCCATGTGCTGTGTATAGTTACACCCATATATGTGTCAAATGTCAAATGGTTCACAGTGTCATTTCGATGTTTTTTGTTGCAGAAATTGAGAACATTGGAAACTTTCACATCCAACTATCTGATATATTGAAAGAGGAGGTGAAAAAGATTGAGAGTTTCAGAGAACGTCAGAAAGAGCAGAGGAAGAAGGTATTTGGGAAATGTGTGTTGCTTAACAACTGACTTATTAAATAACCCCCCCCCCCCCAAAAAAAATGTTAAGGTGTGAATACTCTGAGGATAATATAATTCTTTATTACTTTTAGTATTGCACAAGTCATTAGAATAATATTGTAACTAATGGCTGTTTCCTGTTTGGAAAACACTGTGTTACGTAAGTGTTGACTTAATCCTGCAACCATTTAAATCACTTTACAGACACTGAGTGTGATAGCAGCTGATAAGGGGAAACCTATAGTTTCAAAAATCAAACGATTCAAGACTTGAGTAAAGACTAATTCAGTCTTTATCAAAGTGACATCAAGACTTTTATCACATTAACAGTAAAAATCCAGGTCTTTTATTCATTAATGAACAATAACTGCAAGTATCAGGTTTGCATTGAAGCAACATATGCAAGTAATTTCAACCTTTTATCTTTAGTTTGAAAGCATCATGGAGAAGGTTCAAAAGAAAAAAGTTTCATTCTTCAAGAAGACCATGGAGGTAGGAGACACTTCCACTCCTATCATTTATCACTAACACATGGAACCAGCGTGATTTAGAAATAAACATGAAAACTTAACCACATAAAGGTTGTTTAATTTATGTTCAAGCAAGCACAAAAAATAGAAGTCAGATTTTTAAAAAAATAAAAAATTTTTGCATCACTTACAAAAAGTGTTCTTCCTGTTGCTTTGTCGGAAATAGAACTAATAACTTTTGTTTCTCTTTTTCTTAGTCTAAGAAGAACTATGAGGTGAAGTGCAAGGAGGCCGATGAGGCAGAGCAGGGGGCTGAGAAAACAAATGCTACGTCCAAAAACCCTGAAAAGGTAAAATAGGTGCATGAGCTACCTCGCTAAAAGACAAATGTTTTTATAAGCAACAAAATACAAACTTTTAGATTATTTGAGAAATTCACCACAAAATATGCAAATGCCCACTGTCAGTTCTATTTATGAACTACAAGTTTCCAGCTGTCAGCGGTGCAGTCTTTATGATGGGACTTTTCTGTAGTTGTGCAACAGTTTGCAAGGCGGAACTAAAGTGTGTTTGTGTGCTGGTGTGAGATGTTTTCTTTTCTTCTTCTATCTCTTTCAAGACCATTCCCTATACAACGTATTTATATATCAGTCTCTCTGACTGGTGTTAAAATGGTTACATAACTCACTGAACGTGGCTTCCTGTGCACCGATTTCATTCACAGGTACGTCACAAGATAAAGCAATGCAGGCAGGCGGCCAATGATGCTGGTATGCCTTCACATTTTATTTTTAACTTGCATGCATTTTTAGTATATTGCATTCATTGTCCACTACTTTTTTTGAGAATATTTCATGGAAAAATAAATTAGAAAAGTGGAAAACAGTGCGGCGGTCATTGTTGTGTTCTTTACCAGTGTTTCATTTGTTAACTGTAACTATTAACTATGCTCTATTCTCACAGAGAAGGTGTATTTTAACAACATTGTTCAACTAGAAGCTGTTCGCCAGGACTGGGAGGGGACACACAAAAGTACATGCGAGGTACTGCAGAATATTTTCTCGTTAACTGCTTTCTAATCATGTCTCTATTCAAAATAATGGCTTTTAACCACAGAAATAGCTTCACACCACAACCCCTATAACTGTGAAAACCTTCCTGGCAGCGACCATTTGCAGAAGTACATTTCATCTTGCGCTGAGAGAGCCACAAATGGAAAAACATACAACCATGCAGAAACACACTTAATCACACAAAAGTTCTGCTTTATTTTTTTCGAACGACAGCCTCTTTGTGTTGACTTTGCTGTCACTAGTGGACACACACACACACACACACACACACACACACACACACACACACACACACACACACGCACGGCACCTCTTGGTGGTGCCCCTGTAAGTAAGAAGAGAAAAAAGAAACTATAATGAGCTTTGTATATGTTAAGGCAATTCAACCCTATGTCACGGCAAATATCACGTTTTGCTGTGATACTGAGTTGATCATTACCCAACAGGGTATCATTTCAAAATGCGTAACAAACACACAGGTTCACTGTGCCCATTTTGCCTCTCTGAAACGTGAAATGGGCACGCATGCAGAAGTTGCATTACTGCAACCCAGTATCATGGCAAATCTTGAAATAGTACATAGTACAATAATACATTGTTGGTAATAACACAGAATTCATTTGATAATTATAGGTGTTCCAACAGTTGGAGGGAAATCGCATCAGCATGCTCAGGTGTGCTCTCTGGGACCACTGCAATCATTTCTCCATGCAATGTGTCAAAGATGATGAGGTGAAGTAGTTTTCCCTTTATTTAATATTTAAACAGAATAAAAATGTCAAGAAGAATAAAAATGCAAATTTCTATTCTTAAATCAAGTATAAGTACATTGTCTTGCTGGATAAACCTAAAAAAAGTTTTCTTAAAAAACAAAATGAAACATGCAAGTTCGTAACAGTTACAAAAAACTGATTTTAAAATTTTATTCCCAAATGTTCTTTTAATGAGAATTTATCAACCAGAATTGTAATAATAGTGCAGTTTTCACTCTTTGTCGTTCTTCTGATCACATTTTAGTTCAATGAGGCTTTAATTTTCAAATCTTAAGTGTGCTTAAGTTGAATGTCAGACCACAGCTATGGCCTGCTACTGGATAAACTAATGGATTGTGACTTGAAGCATGTTAGTAGGCTCATGTAGCCTTGACTTCTTCTTGAAAGTTATTACAATCACTTGGCCGATAGTTTTATGGGCTCCGTACTTGCCACTTTCTTAACCATTCTAAATATAAATAACTGGCAGACAGAAAAAGTGTGTTTTCCAGGATTTAGGAATCTAAGATTTTGTAAGAGCTGGTGAGCAGCATTGGTTGATTGTATATAAACCCAAACCGGGATCTTTTCATAAACCTAATTAACTATCACTTATGCATAAACCTAAATGAAAAGTGAAAGTAATATAATAGTAATATAAAATGTACTGAATTCCTCCTTTTTAAAACCAGTCTTACGAGGAGGTGAGGAAATTTCTGGAACAGTGTGACATTACCAAAGACAACAACTCTTTCATAGAAATGAAAGGCACTGGATTGAAGCCACCAGGTGAGCTTTCACAATTTGTATTTACTGGAAAGATGGTTGTTTTGTTTCCTTTACTTATAAGTACAAAGTTGAAGTGAGAAAAGTTCCACTACAAAATAACAGGATATAAAGAGTGCAGCTCAGCTTCTTGACTTTTTCTTTCAATTGACAGACAGGCAAAAAGTATCACTTGGCCTCATTTCTCAAATGAGCAGGTTCACTTTTCTTCTTGCAGAGCCCATAGTGTTTGAAAGCTATTACAAGACGGGGACAGTCAGGGACAACAATGGCCAAGCTCATTCTGTAGGAGGAGAAGAAGATCCCTCAAAGAGGTGAGACAGAATTAAAATCTTCTTCTTCCAAGCAGTTCATATCCTGCGATGCAGGGTCCGATGTTTTGCATGTCTTCCTCCAATTCTCCCTATCCAGAGCGTCTTCTGGTGTAACATTCGCAGCCTTCATATCATTTTTGATTCGGTCCATCCATCACTTTTTTGGTCTTTCTCGTGGCCTGTTGCCACCTAGATCTAATTGCTGTGCTGTCTTGTCTTTGCGATGGAGTTCTTATCGCTACAGGCAACATGGCTGTACCATTGGAGCCGCGCCTCTCTTGTCCGTGATCGGTGTCAATCCCCATCGTTTCCTGACATCTACGTTCCTCGCTCGGTCTAGTCATGTGAGACTCAAAGGCCACCTCAGCATCTTCATCTCCATGGTGTAAAGGGCTTGTTCGTGCTTGGTCATCGCTGGCCAGCACTCTGACCCGTAGAGTGCCATTGGGCGCACGATCGTCTTATAAACTTTCACCTTAAGATAGATTGGCATTCTCTTGTCGGATAAGACTCCACTGATCTGACGCCACTTCATCCACGCTGCGTTGACACGGAGTCTAGCGTCTGGTAGAGTTTTGCAGTCCGAGGTGACAAGGTACCCGAGGTACTTGAATTGGGCAACTTTAGTCAGTGGCTTACTGTCAATAGTGATGGTACTGTTAGTCTGGGGGCCGCATTCAAGGTATTCAGTCTTCTTGATGTTCAGGTGCATGCTGTTTTTGGAGAGCCGATCTTTCCACACTTGTGTTCGGGTTCGCAGGGCTAGGCAGAATTAAAATGGGGAAAAAAGAAATCCAGGTGAGGCCCTCACTTATATCACTGAGCTTCTGCAACCCTACTCTCCAAACCGGATCCTTAGATTCACTGATAGTGGTCTTCTAACCATTCCACGGACCCATCTGAAAACAAAGGGGGATCGCTCTTTTCAAACCTTGGCTCCAATATTGTGGAACAGTTTACCTCCCCCACTACGCAACATCAACCCTTTAGCTACTTTTAAAACAAAGCTCAAAACACATCTGTTTAGACAGGCATTTAGGTAATATTCATGTGTAGCAAACTGTGTTATTGGATGTGCTATTATACTGTGTTTTACTGTTTCAATTGATATGCTTTTATACCTTTTTTATACCATTTTTATTGTTTCATTTGATATGTTTTTATTCCAATGTGAGTTACTTTGAAATAACTTCCTGTTTTAAAAAGCGCTATATAAATACATTTAACTTACTTACTTATTAATTCCAGAGGAGACCTGCTTCAACAGTATTTATAACATACTATATACTATACTATAGTGTATATAATATACTATATAATATACTTTAGTTCATATAATGTATATAATATACTTTGTACTCTGCAAACTAAACACAAACCATGTCCTGAAAATATTCTCTTTGTTAATCATCATCTTTATCTTCATCGTTTGTTGTTATTTTTTTAATGTTAGAAATTTGGACCTTTGCTCGGTGAATTCACAAAAGTAAACATTTGTATCTTAAATATCTTTCTTGATCTAAAGGTGTTCTGATCCCCTGCTTGGAAGGTCTCTGAACATTGGCATGGACAGTCCACTCAGCCCACGATCTACACTGTCATCCATTGGAGAATGTAAGTACTGCAACTGCTCACTCAGTTATATTGTTAAACTGTAGGAAAGACCTAAATCTTCAATATTTTGTTGGTTCTGCTATATTTTATGAATTACATATATAGAGAGTTGGTCTTTCTATTCATATATTGGAGGTTAGAGCAGTCAATTAATTTGAAACATTTCACTATATGAATCAGAGATAAAAATGATATTCTAATATTATATCAAGAAAGTACACTTTAAAAGTAAGAAAGAACTTTAAATTTGCTATAGTGGACTTGATGAGAGGCCAATCTCTTCTCCAATGAGTCATGTATGTGCCAAATGTGTAAAACTGTATAGACTGTTGGTTTTGAACAGTAACACATCACAGGCCCTGTTGGTCTCTTAATGTATTTGCATGCATACACACTGCAATTATAAAACATGGGGCTAGAAAAAGTATTATATGTAGTCATGGGTCAAACACATAGGTGTGTGAATTTGTTGGTTTTTGTGCTATTTAAAGTTGGACTCTGTGGGTGGATGTGGGTGGCTACCTTTGCCCTTAGTGTGAGAAGCTGCACTTTGAAAATCTTTGTCATGGAGCTTAAAAGACATAACAGATTAATAAATTTATTTATTTATTTTTACATTTTGTGTTTGCACTTTCTGACATTTAATTCTGCTTTAGTTCAGCTTTCAGATGACGGATATGCACCCCTTCCATGCATTCACCAAGAAGTGCCACTGTCCACGGGTCCACCTGATGAAATCTTCTATGTTGTGCTTTATCAATACACTGCAAAGGTGATTTGCATGATTATTTTAAAACCTAAAGCAAGAAAGTGAACATTGAGCAAGATGATCGAGAAAGAAAAGAAGAAAATAGACAATATTAGCAGTACTGTATTTAAGCGATATTTGCCTGTAATTAAGATGTGCTTTCTTTACATCGAATGATTAGGAAGAAGATGAGCTATCTGTGAGCCGAGGAGAAGTAGTTCGAGTGCTGGACCAAGAACAAAATGGGTGGTGGACGGTGGAGAGGAATGGGTTTAGTGGACTGGTGCCAGGAAATTATCTAGGCAAAATTTAAACATGTACGCAAATACAGTAATTTTCTTTATATCTCAGGAGAAATTCAATTTATTTATAGTAATTTCATGAAAAAGAACCGTAAATCCAATTCTTACTTGCCTGCCCCTTTACCTTAAAAAAGTAGTTCACAAAATGTGGGTGGGCTATTTCACTGATAATATGCAACTTTATTTAAGTAAAATGCTATGTGCATCATTTTTTATCGTTAATATAATTAATCAAATTAAATACTGTGGGGGGTGGGGGGGTTATAGCTTATGATATAGAGCATGCAAAAAAAAAGAACTTTGAGAACCACTGCCTTACAATGAGTTTTATCATAAAATGCAATAATTTATGTTATTGGTATCTGATTTTTGCCCCCAGAATGACTGGTTTTGGGGGACAAACACACTGTGATTGTGTAAACACAATTGTGCCCCCACAACATGCGTGGTATACACAGAACAACAGTTGCAAATGCAAGAAAGTAGACACAAAGAATGTCAACACATCAAAACAGATGTCTCATATGCTTAAAAACTTGCACGCTTGCAAAGACACACACCAAAGCGAACACATGCCACACACAATACAGCCTACAGACACACACATTTTTGCCAGGCTTTTTTTCCCAAGTGCTCTTACAATACTGGCTAACATGAAAAACTAACCAAAAACCTGAACTAAAAAAGATCATTTAGTAAGCAGTAGACTACCTAAGCAATTAATGCAAGTTAAAGGAAATGCATTCACCAGCTTATATCAGCCTCATTGTTTAAACTGGTTTGGATAATCAGTATAGCTATACTGTTTATCTCATCTTTAGTTCCTATACTTGTAATATATGACTAAAGAATGGTTAGCCATCTACTTTAGAAAACCAATGAAGAATTTTAAAATTCCCTTCATTCAGTCAAGTTACCATGTTTTCAACATGAATCTGTATGTTACTAATAGTAGCAAACTAGTACTGCACCAGTACATTCTAAGCACTGTAACATCACATACTTTTTTCATTAAAATTTGAACTTAAATGACTTGTGATAAGATGAATCATCTTATTCATCTCAAATGACAAGAAAACAGAATGAGTACCATGTGTAAACCACCAGTGACTGCTAAGTTTAACAGCATTAAGCAGCCACATATATACAGCGGAAATGTATATGCTTCTGGCTGTCAATCCTTCTTTGTTTAGAAATGCAGTTTGTGACTAAACTATGACATAGTCTTTTAAATCATCCATTTATTTGGTGCACATGTGAGCTGGTGAAAATAGAGGGCTGGATTTCTAGGAAAAGGAAGGTTTTCATAGAACTCTATGCTGTCCTTAACAACTGAGTACAAATTATGATTCACTACCTTGTAGAATCACCTTTAGCAGCAATAACATGAAGTAATCGTTTTTATACTTCATCCGTTTCTCACGCTGTTGTTGAAGACTCATCGTTACAACATTGCTTCAGTTCATTTAGGTTTGTGAGCATTTGCTCACACACAGGTCTCTTAAGGTCCAGCCACAGCATTTCAGTCATGTTGAGGTCTGGACTTTGCAACATATTTTCTATTTCAGCCATCCTGCTTATGTGTTTGGGATCATTATCCTATTGCATAGCCCAGTTTTGGCCAAGATTTTGCTGTCGGACAGATGGCCTCACTCTTGACTCTGGTGTTCTTTGAAATACAATGGCTGCAAAATGAGCCCAAATTATCAGCCCTCCAAAACCATGCTTAACAGTGGTATGGGGTGTTTGTGCTGATGCGCAGTTGGCTTCCAATAAATGTGCCCCTTTGCATTATGACTAGGCATCTCTCTTTGGTCTTGTTCTGGAGGTCTTTTGGTTTGCTCAAATACAACTTTGCAAACCTAAACTATTATTCCATCTTCTCCCTACAATTCTTCCAAACAAGCCATACTCGTTCAGGAATTGTACTGTCAGGAACTTAGATATAACACCCTAAATGAGGAATGTAGCTCTTGGCCTTTTGCAATTTTTCTAAGTACTGCATGGTCAGACTTTGGGTGAAATTGCTGGGGAATTTACTAGATGTGGTCTTGTAGCGTTAACATAACAAAACTAAATGCTCCAAATTAGTAATCTGCCAAAACTTCTTCTTTTACAGAGGTGGTCACACTTGCTGATGATCAGTTGCATTTGATTAGCAGCACCAGGCTGATAATTACCCACTGTGTAATGTGTTTTTCACAGGACTGCATAAAATCCTGCAAAAACGTTCCTTTTCATATGACTGTAGTAATCATCATTTATATCTGCTGTACATAAAAGTTTTTCTGTAAACCTCCCACAGACCATCAGCTACAAAAGTAGCACATACAGATGAACAAACTACTAGAATAAACTATTTTTATGCTTGTCAAGTGACGGCACATTTAAACATGTTTAATATAATTCCATGCGCCTGATGATATAGCCATATGATATTGCTTGTTTAAGTACTTTGTGTCGGTTTGGGTTTTTTTGGTAGCATATTTACTGTCACGTGAAAAAAAAAATTAAAAGAATCCAGTTGAGGTGTA